ATTATGATGTTGATATTGATCCTTAAGAATACATGAGGGTTAAGTTTAAAAAGAGAAAGATTGAAAGCCAAGCTAATCAGCCTAAATCAGAGTTGGATAAGTATTTAGTGGATGACATTGAAGATGACAATGACAAGACATTTGATCTCTTGAAATGGTGGAAGATGAATTCAACAAAATATCCAGTTCTCTCTTTGATGGCACGAGATGTATTGGCTATGCCTGTTTCAACTGTTGCATCTGAGTCGGCTTTTAGTACGTGGGGTCGTGTATTGGATCCATTTCGTAGCTCCTTTACTACGAAAATGGTGGAAGCTCTTTTCTACACACAAGATTAGATTCGGACTATGCGTGCACCATTAGTCATTGAAGACACCTTGGATGAGTTAACGAAAATTGAGTTGGGTAAAATTTTGCCTTTACTTTCAATTAATTAATTATGTATGTGTTGGATTTGTTAATTATACTTTCAATTATTTAATTATGTGTTTATCCAACTTTTTGCAGAATTTTCATCTTTTAGAGTAGAAAGTACTCGTCCTCAACTAAATGATTGAAGGGCAATCCAAATTTCCAATAACAAGGTATAATGGTATATACTATGACTTTATTTAGTTTCATTTGTTCTTCTATTTACTAATTTCTAGATTTGATTGGACAAACTTATAAAAAGAAAGAAATTTAAAATGGAAGCTACCTAACCAGTTGTGGAACTTTTTTGTTTTGACAATGGATTGGAATGTGCTTGGAGTTTGACGGTTGTTGCTTGCTTGGAGGCCTCTTTTGAAATCTTTTTATGGATTTGTTATATTTACATTTGTCTTTCTGAACTTTGTTTGTGTATCTTCTAAGTTTGCATTTCGTTATTTGATTTGGAAATGTACTAAGGTTTGTTTTGTGGAAATGTGTTTGTTATGTTTGTTTTGTGGAAATGTGTTTGCTAGTTTTAATCATGTGTTTGATTTGGATTTTGTGGAAATATGTTTCTTATTTTATTCATGTGTTTGATTTGTAATTTTAGGGTGGAAACTAAGTTGGCAACAGGGGACTATTTTTTAGTTTGCATATGTTTGATTTGTAAATGTCTTTGTGTACTTTATAATTTGAAACCAGAGTCTGTATAGTCTTTGTTTTTGCAATCTTTGATTTGTAATTTAAATTATTAATATTTGATGTACATTAAAATTATATGAATTCAAATATTCAATTACAATAAATATAATTTTAATTCAAGTAAAAAAAAAAAAAAAAAAAAAAACCTGGAAAAAAAAAGGGCCAAAGTGGAGTGTGACCGAATTGGGCCGAAAAATGCAGTCAATCATAAATCCTAATTAACCGGTTTTAAAATCGGTTAACCAAACCGAATTTTCGGTTCGGTTCAAAAAAAATTTGAAACCGAAAACCGGTTTGGTTTAAGCTACCAGTTAACTGGTTTTTTTCACCCATAGTTCGAATGCTATGAGCAAGTCTTACGTCCACTGTGTTTGTATTATATTTTGTTTTGTGATCGCTAATGAAGATTACAAAGAGAACAACCTCTCACATGATCTCTCAAGGTTACAAGTGGTCGGGATATCTTAAAAGAATGATAAGTCAGTCTTTTTTAAATAGTGTCTTTGTTGTAAAATAAGTTTCTAAATTTGAAAATTAATCTCGTTGTGAGGAGTAGAGTTGTCTATTTGTTGTATTCCCAACTTAAAGTAATAAGTGCTTTTATAAATTTTCTTTATTTGTTGAAGATCTTCTTTCCTTCTAATTTGTTGAGAGTTTTCATCTATATTCTTAAATTAAATGAAATTTTGATTGATAGGTGCATAAAATATCATGAGAGTTGGTTTAAGGATTGTCTTGCTATTTCTTGTTTGTCTTCATGCACATGGCGAACTCTGATTAGTGGAGTTGAATTCTGATTAGTGATGATGACATCAGCATACATTTTAGCCATAACATATCTAAAAAATATTTTTGTTTTTCTTTAATACCTTTTGCTCTCTATAGCTAGGAAAGGGCTCACCAATATTTCTTATTTTAATAAAACCTCCAAAATATTAGGCTTCCTTCATCACCTAATTATGATAGCATAGCCAAACTTAATGAAACTCTTACTGTTATTAAAAAAAATCTTGTTATAAAATAATCAACTATTATATTAGTAACCGTAAATAATAAATATTTTTAATATAAAATAATATAATTAATTATCAATAAAATAAAAAGATAATACAATAAAATAAACAATACCAACAACTTGATCACGTGTGAGAAATCTTTCAGAACAATAGGATGAGATCCGAAGAATACAACATTAGAAGAATGTCGAGGCCTGTGTAACACACAATTTCCTTAAAACAAATTTGCCTCATTAACTCAGGTGCACAAGGATTTGAGCAGCGTTTGTTTCTCAGGATACAACGACAAATGAATAGCAAGATAAGCATCACTCTTCTATTATAACGAACTAAATAAAACCTTAACTCCAACAAAAGAAAACCTTAAAAACTAAAAAGAAAATAAGAGATTGAAAGAGCTCTCAATTTTTTCTTTTTTTGGTGTGTTTGAAATGAGAGAAAAAATATCTTTTTATACTACTCAATGTGGGACAGAACATTGAATTCCACTATTATTTTCCACCTTTTCACTTTTCAATTCTTAAAACTTCCTCCATTAATCCACTAACCTTTTACTTTTCAAATTCTCAACTTACACCACCGTCACTTTCATTCCACTTATTTCTTCAATTTAATAAAATATTCCAACACTTACTATGATTGTGTACAATTTATGAGTAGTTTCATGTGAAATTTTATGAATCCAATTTCCAGTTTGTTTTAATTAATGATAGAAGGAGTTGTGGTTAATATATACTTATTTTTAAGTAATCGTCCTAAATGATTGGATTGTTTTTAATAAATTAACAAAATTTATATTTATAATTAGCCAACCCGTAGTTTATAATTTTTGCATTTTAAAATTTTTATCAGGGAAACTCCCGCGTTAACATTAATGAGATATAATTATCATATAACGGCCACATTATGTAATTAATAAATTATATTCTTGTCAATAAAAACCTTTGTAATATTTACTAATAACTAATATATACGTATATAAAATTAATTATATAAATTATTTTCTTATAATTGATATAATAATTTATTCTATTTTTTGTTTTAAATGAGTAGACAACATATTCCAATCTCAGGATTAGTGAAATCCCAAATTGATACTTGGTTGTAGACCTGGCAAACTGGAGGGTTGAGCGGGTATGGTCCGGGTAGCAACGGGTTGTGGGTTCACGGGTAAAAAAATCTCACGGGTCGATATTTTCATGATCGGGCGGGTATGGGTCACCCGTGAAAATGGCAGCAGCCTTTTACATTTTACACATTTTTTACTAATCACGAGCTTTACTGATAACAAAAACAAAATCTTGATGAGGGAAGATTGACTTGACGGTGATAAAGAGGAGAATGAACCCGTCATTAAATTCATGCCAGAAGTTTCTAGTGTACCCGCCTACACTAAATACTTAAGCTGGAACATGGTGCTGCACTTCACATTTTGGACTTTCTGGGCTTGATGTTATGGTGAGTTCTTTGATTCTGTTCATCATAAACTTCCCCCATTTTCGAGGGTAAGGCCTAATTTTTTCAACAATTGAAGGCGGCATTGAGGTGGAAGAGTTGACAAGGAACAAAATAGATGTTGTGGAGTCAAGAACTGTAGGACCGATGATTGCGCATAAATCATAATTATGGTGAGATCTGTCGCAGTTGATTTGTGGGGATTGAGAAGGTGGTCGAGGAAGTTGGTCCAACTTGCTTGTTGATTTCAATTCTAAGTCCTTTTTGTCTACAACCATAGAAATACTATATCAATTTTGGACGAAAGTAACATTTTATTCTTCATATCAGTAATTATTCCTGACTCTTGACATCATTTCACATGTTTCAGTTCATTTTTATTTACTTTTCCAATTTTTCGGTCAACTCATTTTTTTAATAATAACTTATAGAGTTCTTATGAGACCTTATATATTTATTGACAAGTGAGAGGAGATCTGGTGCTGCCGTGAGAGAATGGGCTGCCGTGACCTGCTGCTGCTGCCATGACCTGCTGCTGTTGGCACCTGCTGCTGCCGTGAGAGAAGTCAGAGAATGAGGGAAAGTGGAGCTGTTGTGAGAGTGAGAGAGTGAGGGAGTGGAGCTGCTGCGAGAGGACTGAGGAGTGGTCGTGGAGCTGCTATGGCCTGTGAGAGAAGAGAATGAGCTGCTGCGTTTTTTGTTTTTTTCACTGATAAGTTTTGCTGTTTTGGTTTAGATTAGGGTTTGAGTTGAGAGTGAGATGAGTGATAAGTTTTTTTTTCTTTTTTTAAATTTCAAATTTGTGGGTCCGCGGGTAGTACCCGGTCCATCCGCAAAAGTCACGGGCGGGTCGGGTACGGGTCAGATTCTTATGGGTCAAAATATGTGTTACCCGTACCCGCTCGTTGGGTACGGGTACCCATTGACCTGCGGGTACATCCGCCCGTTTGTCAGGTCTACCTGGTTGTATTTATTCTAGATTCCCACTGTTAAACTAATACCTTTAATGATTATTGGAGGTGGTTGGAAATAGTAAATGAGGTCGGCAATTGAAGGTATGAGTTTTGTAGAGGAGGTTGTTGGGAGTCCAACGGTGGTTTGAGAAGTGATTTTGGACTTCCGGAAAAGCCAAAAACCATATTACTAACGTGGGCTGCTTTTTTTCTAACATGCACCCTTCTTTGACCCAAAAAAGTGTCAGTGCAATCTAGCGCACTAACATGCGCCGCACTGTATTTTCTAAAACTCGCGTGTGGGAATATATCGTTTGCTCTTTTTATATTTATCTTTCATATAATTTCTTTTTATATTTGTCTCTAATATAATTTCTTTTTATATTTATCTTTAATATAAATTATTCGATCACATTGAACACATCAGTTCTTGTAGTATTTATAGTATGAGTTTGTAAATGAATTATTATTCTAAACGAATATAACAATCATATATAGATTTGTGAAGACAGTATATAAATAGAACAGCTCTTGATCAATCCCGCTCGATCTCACTCGGACGAGCTCCAAAAAATTCAAAAAGAAAAGATGCCAGAAGCAGAATCAAGCGCTAATTTTCGAAATGCGAATCATACAGTTGATCCCGTCGATCATCTTCCACTCTCTCTTCTCCGATCCGAGTACATCCCGGCCGCACCGACCCGATCCTTATCCACAATCGACTGGTTACCGGAGTTTGCCGGTTACTCATGGGTGGCGTACGGAGCATCTTCTCTTCTGGTGATCTCTCATTTTCCTTCTCCCCTCTCCCAAGATGAAACCCTAATTGGTCCCATTTTTCGCCAATTTTTCGAGCTCTCCGATGATACAACGCCCGTCAGTGCCGTTTCTTGGTCTCCCGTAGCTCCTTCAATTGGCGGCCTTGCTGCTGCCTCGGGGAATTGCATCTATGTCTTTACTCATGATTCGGGGACCTCCAAAGGTATTAAGAGTCTTTCTGCGTTTGCTTTTCTGTTTGTTTACCAAGAAAGTTGATGGAAAGAATATTAGAAACCTACTAGCATGAGTACACACTCTCTATTACTCATACTTAGCCTTGCAAGAAAACTATTTTCTTCACAATTTTTATGGTTTAGTTCATAAGAAATGTTAGCCGTAAAATTGGTTAATTATAAGTTACTTTTTGTTTAGTTATTTTTTTTCTTCTAAATTTTTCGCAATGTCGGTTGTTATAACACGTACATTGGAGTCTGAACTACGTTGCTGAGTTCATCAAATGCTGAAGTTAAAAAAAATTCGCGTTGCACTATACTGCTTTTTACCATATTCTTATTCTGATATTTATCTTTGTTACTTTTCATTTCGAGTTTATGGGTTCTTCTGTCAGCATATGTGTCTCAAAAGAGATAAAAAAAAAAACGGTGAAGAAGCATGAAATCAGATGCACAAGACCATATACCTAGCTGATTGTTAATCAGATAATCAGCTGTTTTAATTATTTCTTAAAATATTCTGTTTAGTTCGAATTCAAATTTCTTTTACTCATATTCAGGTTCTTTTTGTTGGAGCCAGAATGCAGTACTCATACAACGTACAAAGGTGGAGGCAATTCAATGGACGGGGTCTGGGGATGGGATCATTGCTGGTGGAATTGAGATCGTTTTATGGAAAAAGCAAAACACATCCTGGGAAATAGCTTGGAAGTTTAAAGAGAATCAGCCTCAAAATCTTGTTTCTGCAACTTGGTCTATTGAGGGACCTTCTGCAACTGCAGCTTATATGTATAAACCAGACCTTGGAGGATCTAATGAGGCAGGCAAGTGTGTTTTAGTTTGTTACAGTGATGGAAAATCTGAATATGCCAAAGTCAGGCTACGTCATCCTCAGCCCATTGCAATGATTCAATGGAGGCCATCAACGAGAAGGCAATTCCAGGGAGATGCAAAACATTCATCTAGGCATGTGCTGCTAACATGCTGCTTGGATGGAACTCTAAGATTATGGAGTGAGATGGATAGCAGAAGGGTTAAAAAAGTTGGCAGGGACATTAATGATCGTAAAACCATGGGACGATCTTTTTGTGTTGTTGCTGTGATTGAAGTAAATCAGGCCTTGAATGGAGATCTTGGAATGGATGTGTTTTTTACATGGGCAACGGAAAACACAAGCATGTTTAAAACCAGTCAAGGGGACAACCAATTTATTTCTGCTGGAGGATTTGAGCGTGGAAGGGCTGGCAAATGTGAGTGGTTAATTGGGTTTGGTCCTTCCTTTTTGTCTACAACCATAGAAATACTATATCAATTTTGGACGAAAGTAACATTTTATTCTTCATATCAGTAATTATTCCTGACTCTTGACATCATTTCACATGTTTCAGTTCATTTTTATTTACTTTTCCAATTTTTCGGTCAACTCATTTTTTTAATAATAACTTATAGAGTTCTTATGAGACCTTATATATTTATTGACAAGTGAGAGGAGATCTGGTGCTGCCGTGAGAGAATGGGCTGCCGTGACCTGCTGCTGCTGCCATGACCTGCTGCTGTTGGCACCTGCTGCTGCCGTGAGAGAAGTCAGAGAATGAGGGAAAGTGGAGCTGTTGTGAGAGTGAGAGAGTGAGGGAGTGGAGCTGCTGCGAGAGGACTGAGGAGTGGTCGTGGAGCTGCTATGGCCTGTGAGAGAAGAGAATGAGCTGCTGCGTTTTTTGTTTTTTTCACTGATAAGTTTTGCTGTTTTGGTTTAGATTAGGGTTTGAGTTGAGAGTGAGATGAGTGATAAGTTTTTTTTTCTTTTTTTAAATTTCAAATTTGTGGGTCCGCGGGTAGTACCCGGTCCATCCGCAAAAGTCACGGGCGGGTCGGGTACGGGTCAGATTCTTATGGGTCAAAATATGTGTTACCCGTACCCGCTCGTTGGGTACGGGTACCCATTGACCTGCGGGTACATCCGCCCGTTTGTCAGGTCTACCTGGTTGTATTTATTCTAGATTCCCACTGTTAAACTAATACCTTTAATGATTATTGGAGGTGGTTGGAAATAGTAAATGAGGTCGGCAATTGAAGGTATGAGTTTTGTAGAGGAGGTTGTTGGGAGTCCAACGGTGGTTTGAGAAGTGATTTTGGACTTCCGGAAAAGCCAAAAACCATATTACTAACGTGGGCTGCTTTTTTTCTAACATGCACCCTTCTTTGACCCAAAAAAGTGTCAGTGCAATCTAGCGCACTAACATGCGCCGCACTGTATTTTCTAAAACTCGCGTGTGGGAATATATCGTTTGCTCTTTTTATATTTATCTTTCATATAATTTCTTTTTATATTTGTCTCTAATATAATTTCTTTTTATATTTATCTTTAATATAAATTATTCGATCACATTGAACACATCAGTTCTTGTAGTATTTATAGTATGAGTTTGTAAATGAATTATTATTCTAAACGAATATAACAATCATATATAGATTTGTGAAGACAGTATATAAATAGAACAGCTCTTGATCAATCCCGCTCGATCTCACTCGGACGAGCTCCAAAAAATTCAAAAAGAAAAGATGCCAGAAGCAGAATCAAGCGCTAATTTTCGAAATGCGAATCATACAGTTGATCCCGTCGATCATCTTCCACTCTCTCTTCTCCGATCCGAGTACATCCCGGCCGCACCGACCCGATCCTTATCCACAATCGACTGGTTACCGGAGTTTGCCGGTTACTCATGGGTGGCGTACGGAGCATCTTCTCTTCTGGTGATCTCTCATTTTCCTTCTCCCCTCTCCCAAGATGAAACCCTAATTGGTCCCATTTTTCGCCAATTTTTCGAGCTCTCCGATGATACAACGCCCGTCAGTGCCGTTTCTTGGTCTCCCGTAGCTCCTTCAATTGGCGGCCTTGCTGCTGCCTCGGGGAATTGCATCTATGTCTTTACTCATGATTCGGGGACCTCCAAAGGTATTAAGAGTCTTTCTGCGTTTGCTTTTCTGTTTGTTTACCAAGAAAGTTGATGGAAAGAATATTAGAAACCTACTAGCATGAGTACACACTCTCTATTACTCATACTTAGCCTTGCAAGAAAACTATTTTCTTCACAATTTTTATGGTTTAGTTCATAAGAAATGTTAGCCGTAAAATTGGTTAATTATAAGTTACTTTTTGTTTAGTTATTTTTTTTCTTCTAAATTTTTCGCAATGTCGGTTGTTATAACACGTACATTGGAGTCTGAACTACGTTGCTGAGTTCATCAAATGCTGAAGTTAAAAAAAATTCGCGTTGCACTATACTGCTTTTTACCATATTCTTATTCTGATATTTATCTTTGTTACTTTTCATTTCGAGTTTATGGGTTCTTCTGTCAGCATATGTGTCTCAAAAGAGATAAAAAAAAAAACGGTGAAGAAGCATGAAATCAGATGCACAAGACCATATACCTAGCTGATTGTTAATCAGATAATCAGCTGTTTTAATTATTTCTTAAAATATTCTGTTTAGTTCGAATTCAAATTTCTTTTACTCATATTCAGGTTCTTTTTGTTGGAGCCAGAATGCAGTACTCATACAACGTACAAAGGTGGAGGCAATTCAATGGACGGGGTCTGGGGATGGGATCATTGCTGGTGGAATTGAGATCGTTTTATGGAAAAAGCAAAACACATCCTGGGAAATAGCTTGGAAGTTTAAAGAGAATCAGCCTCAAAATCTTGTTTCTGCAACTTGGTCTATTGAGGGACCTTCTGCAACTGCAGCTTATATGTATAAACCAGACCTTGGAGGATCTAATGAGGCAGGCAAGTGTGTTTTAGTTTGTTACAGTGATGGAAAATCTGAATATGCCAAAGTCAGGCTACGTCATCCTCAGCCCATTGCAATGATTCAATGGAGGCCATCAACGAGAAGGCAATTCCAGGGAGATGCAAAACATTCATCTAGGCATGTGCTGCTAACATGCTGCTTGGATGGAACTCTAAGATTATGGAGTGAGATGGATAGCAGAAGGGTTAAAAAAGTTGGCAGGGACATTAATGATCGTAAAACCATGGGACGATCTTTTTGTGTTGTTGCTGTGATTGAAGTAAATCAGGCCTTGAATGGAGATCTTGGAATGGATGTGTTTTTTACATGGGCAACGGAAAACACAAGCATGTTTAAAACCAGTCAAGGGGACAACCAATTTATTTCTGCTGGAGGATTTGAGCGTGGAAGGGCTGGCAAATGTGAGTGGTTAATTGGGTTTGGTCCTGGAATGCTGGTTACTTTCTGGGCTATCCATTGTCTTGATGACATCAATCCCTTAAGGTTCCCACGAGTTACATTATGGAAGAAACAAAGCCTGGAATCTGGAAATCTAAATAGAAGTGGTTTTCCAAATTTTAAGGAGCAACTAATTCTTAATAAAGTTGTTATTTTAAGAAACTGCGTTTCTGGTCCTCCAACTGTTTGCTCTTTGATTCATCTATCACCTTGTAACTCCTTGGTTTGGTCCTTTTTGCATACCCAAACATCAAAAAACATAGAGGATATATCTCCTAATGAATCCCAAACAGGAAACTTCTTGTCATTTTCAGCAAGTAGGGTTTTAAATATAGATGGTCACACGGGAAAAATCTTACAAGTTGCTGTGCATCCTTGTGTCTCCGAAGTTGAACTTGCTGTTTCTCTTGATTCTAATGGGTTGCTGTTATTCTGGTCTCTTTCTACCATTTCAAACAGCATCTCTGCCTTCCCAACGTTGATTCCTACATGGAAACTTTGTGGAAAACTTGGAACTCAAGGTTTGTGTTCGAAATATACGGCCTTGAGCTGGGCTCCTTCAATGCTGCATGAAGAAAGGGTTCTTCTTATGGGTCATGTTGCAGGAATAGATTGCTTTATAGTAAAGGTTTCTCAAACTGAAGAGAACGGAATATCATGTAATTACATATGCACTATACCTCTTAGTGGTCATAGGACTTATGAGGAAGGTCCTGCAAATATATTTTCTATACCTTTGCCTTCTTGTAACAGTAAAACGGTAAAGTATAATAAATTTTTGCTTTTGGGGGTGTGGATGAATGGGTTTGAGGCCCTATCATGGGAAATCACCTTACACCCTGTTGATTTACTGGAAAGATGCTGTGAATGTAATGTTGACGATAATGCTGTTAAATGCATTATGTGGAAGTTTGGAATTACTACTTCTGAAAAAAGATATTGCATTGCTGTCTATCCCCGATCATCCCAATTTCCTGAGGCTCACACAAATAATCAAATTACAAGTTTTGCTGTGGTCTGTCCAAGTAGTCTGATACATGTGGATCAAAAGTTAGCTGATGATGATGATCTGTGCAGCAAAATTCCTGCATATACTATGGCAACAGGCTCCTCTGATGGTATTTTGAAACTGTGGAGAAGTAACCTTGGTAGCCCATCAACCCCTGACATGCAATGGGAGCTTGTAGGTATGTTTGTCGCTCATCAAGGTCCTGTTTCTACTATGTGCTTGACTAATTGTGGTCTGAAGATTGCTACCGTTTCTTCTAAAAGTGATTCAAATGCTGGGAGCACACTTTCTGTATGGGAGTCTGTATACCTTACAGGGTTTGGTAGTTTCATATTGGAAGATACATTATCCTTTGACAGAAGTGTTGTTGCTGTAAATTGGTTAACTTTTGAAAATGGTCAATTCTTACTTGGCGTGTGCATGGAAAATGAGCTGTGGATATATGCACAGAGGCGTTGTGGTGGTCAGACTTTGCTGAACTCTAAAAAGTCTTTTAAAATGCAAATTTGGTTGTGCATTGCATTTGCTCATACTTCTCCTGCTATTCATGGCCTCTTTTCTGGTCGCAGGGCCACAGCTATTGTTGTGCACAATAGCTACTTTAGTCTATTTAGTAGGTGGTTGTTTCTCATTGATAAAAAACATCAGGCCAAATGCCATTCAAATTTTGCTGTGGACAATTCTTCCTGTCTTGACTATGGAACAGATACAAACACTGTTTGTGCTATGTCCACTGGTTGTGATATTGGTGGTGGTTTCAAAGTATCATCAGTTGAAGATCTTAGAGGAGAATGCAAGTCTGCTCTTTCTGTGATGACTAATGTGAAAAGTGATCTATCCAGAGTTTTGTTTGTATCAAGTGATCAACTGCAATTTGGTTCAGGAATCATGCTTGGTTTCTGGAGCATGCTGGAAATTGCTGAGAAGTTAAGGGGATCTTTGCCTGCTTATCATCCTGAGGCACTCCTCATAAATATATATTCAGGTATTATGAAGACAATTTTATCCATTTTAATAAATATGCAATTTATTTTCGTGCTTCAAACTTTAGTAGGCTGTATAAGCTGCTGCAATGCTAGTTATAGCATTCATCTTTGATTGTCAGACAAGTAGACAGTTACATCATAAAAAAATTGCTTTATTGCATTTTATTCATCGTTGGTATCATTGGTGTTCTTTTGCTTGAAGCATTGTTTTTAATTAAAAAAAAAAAAAAAAGCATATTTTTCGCTTTTCTGGAAGGGGATAATGAAGAAATTTCATTCAGTGACTAGGACTTGTGAATAGTTTCGAGTAGATCCGGAATAGACTTTTCAACTATTTAACAACTAGGCCTATCATCTAGGTAAAAGCTTTCTTTCTTTGTCTTTTATTACAGTTCAGATATCTTGCATTCATTTGACGTATCTGTTAAAAATAAGAAATAGGAAAAAAGTACTTGAATACTATTAATGAATTTCTCTTTACTTTTCGTATGGGATGAAGTCTCTTCTATTTTTTGCGAAGCTTGGTAAAATCTTGTTAATCATTGAATACCACTATAATCATCCATTTGAATTTTGTAAAATTGTGGCCTAAACTTTATGTTATATTTTATACACACAAACATCTACTTTCAGGTATGATGTTTGTTGTTAATTACTTGTTTTGGGTCTATTGGAGGCCCATGGAGCCTTTTCTCCTGTTGCGAAACCTGTTTTCCCTTATATATAGGATTTGATCCCATGTCTCTAGGCAACTGGTGCCTTCTAAGCTTGCTGACACCGACTATTTATTTATTGTAAGTAAAGTCATATTTATTTTCTTGTGAATATCTTGGACTTTGTTTGTCAATCTTGAAGGAAATTACTCTTCTTCCCCAACCTTTCTCTATTCCTTTCCCTTCTATTTTAGTCATCTGCATATTTTGTCTATGGTATGATATATGTGGACACTGGAAGTTCTTATTAATATTAGGCAGGCTGAAGGATACTTTGTTTATAAATTTTTGCTATTCTTTTGTGAAATATTATCAATTTACTTGGTGACTAAAAATACATACAAATATATTAAAGAAGTTGAATTGAGATGGTCTACCTTACATGGTCATGGGTGTTCGCATCCTCGAAAGGAATGGTACTCATGACCTTGCAGCAGAAATATTTGATTGTCAAATTATTTTCAGCTAACATTTGTCCTATTATCAAATTTGTTTTGTAATATGCTGACAATATATTGATTCTCTTCCTGTGAGGTCTCCATCTTTCATTTAATTTTGGGAAGCAGGTCATTTATAGCTTCATATTTAATTGTATGTTAAGGCTAATGATATATTACTGAAAGAATGTTATTTCTAATGTCTTTAGGCAATTGGAAACGTGCATATGTGTCTTTGAGGCATCTTGTTGAATACCTTACTTCAAATAATGTCTCAGAGACGATATATCCCTCCACAAAGTCTGGCCATATTGTCCCACAGATCCTTTTGTCAAATTATTTTGAAGGGTTTCTCTCCAAAGGTTCAGCCAATAGTGAATTTAAATGGAATGGGGTTGATACATCAATGACATCTTCTTCACAGTTTAATGGAGGCATTACCCAGTTTGCTTACAATTTTGCGTCCGTTGATGCTTCCACTTATATGGTTAATTCATCATCTCCAAAATCTGAACTTGGTGGCTTTGTTGAGTCTCTTGAGAATTTAAATGGGCTACCAGCTATAACCACCATAGAGAAGATGGAAATTCTTGCGGTTATTGATCTACTCAAAGAAGTTAGTAATATGCAATCTGCTTCAGCCTATGAAAATCTTGATGAATTTGGCCGAAGGTGCTTCCACAATTTGTTTATTGCATTATTTTGTTGCCCAATTACTGTTCTATGGCATTTACTGCATGGTGTACTAACCAATGATTTCAGATTTTGCTAAACGGACTTGGCTCAAATGTGGTTTGATCTTAGATCTTACTTAGTGCCAGCTCAGTATATAGTTCCGTGATGTAAATTTTTTCAATGATTTTTCCTTGCTGACAAGTAGACTGAGTTATTAGTGCTCAAGGGAGGTGGGCCCAGCACATAAATTTTATGCAAAAATTGCAACTCTTCAAGGCTCGGCAATGGCAAGACAATAGTCTAATTTATAAAGGACAGAGTCTAAATGTTGTGCAGTGGATTCTCATTCCTCAAAACGGTTGTTTATTTATTGAAAACTGTTTTTCATTTAGTGAATCTGCACCACTTATAGGGTTTTTTGCAGTCCCATAGAGAGAATTTTTTGTCTGCATTAATACTACTAATCTCAAAGCTTGTACTTGATAGGAAAAGGCTCTACAATGCTATATAAATCTTAAAGATGCCCCACATGTGCGTCACCAGATTTGATTAGTAGGATTGTGGCTTGGATCCAAATACTGGTCCAACCTAATGTGTGATTTTTACTTAATAGAATTAGTAGATTCTACATAAGACCTTTTGAATCTAGCTGATTGTGAGCTTAAGTCGTTAAAAATGGTGCCTACACTGGTATTTAAACTTCCAAACAAATAGTTTCAACTTAAGTTGTAGTATACAATTATTTTATTTAGTCTTTGTTCCTACTCTGATTTAATGTTTTATTTGCGGTTGTAACTGTAAAGTAATAGTGGTATTATTTCAAACTTTAATTCTTCTTTCAATAGTTTTTTTATTTTTTTATTTATTTATTTTAATTTTGATAATGATTTGTGTATATTTTTTAATTGTTTTATCGAAGGTTTTGGGTGGCATTAAGGTTTCAGCAACTACACTTTTCTCGAAGGTTTGGTAGATCGGCATCTGTGGAAGAGTTGGTTGTTGACTCTAGGCTTATAGGATGGGCTTTCCACTCTGATTGTCAGGAAGCTTTGTTTGGTTCTGTTCTATCTAATGAACCATCTTGGCCAGAAATGCGGGCACTGGGTGTTGGATTTTGGTTCACTAACATGACACAATTGCGTATAAGGGTAACATTTGGAGCTTTTCATTGTTTATTAATTTATTTTACACACTGTATTTCAATCGTTAGTTTTTTACTTTTTTTATATAATAATATATCAATCTTTAATTGCAACAGGACTCTGTCCTTTTTCGGGTCTCCTTCTTGGAGGTCTTGGTTAATCTTTTCTGTTATAAATTTGCATTATTAGTGCCAGTTGTACTTGATTTTCTGCACCATTCATATACCATCTTACAAGTAGATTTATCCAGGAAAACCTGAAAATAAAGATCATGTTGGTCTGACTACTGTGGAGTCTCACATTATTTCATTTCTGAGTAAGCTGGTAATATGATCACCTTTTTTCTAGTGGAGTGCAATTTAGTAGGATTGACCAATAGAAATATGTTATGGAATATGATAATCTAGTTTTCTTTTTGTGCACCAATTTTGCTTTTAGTTGATATATGGATAAATGGTTTGTTTTGTCAGGCCCGGTAATTTATATAGCATTGCAGGACAGGAGAGTTGACTTGTCCTACCTAGAGAACCCATTTGGAAGAGACATCTCATTCACTCTTTCATTTCAGATTTGGCTTTCTGCATCAGTAATAGGTTGATTATTTTGGAGTTAGGTTAGCTATGCCTTACACGTGATTATTGTTTAGTCGGTGTCAGATTGCAGTTTGCTTCATCGCATTTTATCTATGGGGTTTGTTATCAGAAATAGGTTTGTTCAAGTGTCACTATGTCCAGAATTTAAATCTGACCGATAAGGTCATGACAATAGTATTTAAGCTCTATATACCCCCTCATATGCAAGGCACATAGATAGATCATACTACAACCGCGAATGGAAAAGCTTATTATTGTTTTATTAAAACAATGAAAGGAGTTAAAAGCAAAACTAGTTGAACTTGGCAGGGATACCGTGTCAAGTAATCACTTGACCCAAAGTTAGCAGTGTTCTCTATCGGTTTGATCATGTTCGTGAATAGCAGTTGCTGCAAGAGAGAAATTGGTTCCTTAACTCTTGAAATTTCTCTGCTCCAATATTTTCTTACAAGGCAATTTGTTTTGTTCTTTCTTTTCTCTTTTTATTTTCTACTTTTTTGTTTGTTGCATTATGATTTATGTCATCTGGGGTACTCTGATGGACAACATATGTACTGTCACATCTCAACTCTGTAATAAAAACAGTTAAAAGATGTTTTACTTGGCGATTTCTGATGCTACTCTTTAATTGTAGATGGAGAAACTGGCAAGATCACAGTATCTGAAGAGCAAAAATCCTAAAGATTGTGCACTTTTGTATATAGCTTTGAATCGACTTCAAGTTTTGGCTGGCCTGTTTAAACTTAGTAAAGATGAGAAGGACAAACCCCTGGTGGCATTTCTTTCGCGCAATTTTCAGGTATGTGTAAAGTTAGATGATTTTAAGTTCTTGATGTGATGATTGTTGCATTTGTGGTAAACATAACGGAACTAATTTCCAGGAATCTTTCTTGGAAGAAGCTTTCACTAGTTTATTTTTCCTGGTTAAATTGTTGGTAATATTATTATAATATCGTTCTGAGTTTCTCGAATTCAAACATTTTTGTCAGTGTATTTTATGATGTTAACGTGCTGAAGGGAAGACACTAATCGATTTTGTCCAGCATGTTTAGATTCAATTTGTATTTTAATTACTTCTATGAGAGGAGAAAAATAAGGGAGCTGCTTTGAAAATTCTTATGTCTTGCTGGGTAGATTATTACCTGTACAGTTTCCTAGATTCTAGTCTTCATAAATGTTTGTTGACTGTTGCATTTGATGATGTTGGTTTGCTGAGCTAAATTTGGTTAATTATTCTTCCATATTTATTTCCATTCTCTATTTGCATCAATTGCTTTTGCAGGAGGAGAAAAATAAGGCAGCTGCTTTGAAAAATGCTTATGTCTTACTCGGTAGGCATCAACTAGAGCTGGCTATTGCTTTTTTTCTGCTTGGGGGTGACGCAGCCTCTGCGATTAATGTGTGTGCAAAAAATCTTGGGGATGAACAGCTGGCGCTAGTAATTTGCCGGCTCCTAGAGGCGCGTGGTGGACCATTGGAGCGTCATCTTATCGCAAAGTTTATACTTCCATCTGCCATTGAGAGGAAAGACTACTGGCTTGCAAGCCTTCTGGAGGTTCCTTATATATGATATTTATCTATTTCCAGATTCTCCCTCCACCCCCCCTCCCCCCTTTCTCCATTAAACATTCTTCTGTACTGCTTTATTTGTTACCCCTTTCCACTTTCTAACTAGTCTCAAATTATAAAAAATTCATTTGCTTTTGCAGTGGGAATTAGGGAATTACTCTGAGTCATTTCTGACCTTGACCGGTTTCCGAGAAACTACTGTTACCAACAAGTTTGCTGTATTGTCCAATAATGCTGCTTTTGTGGATCCCAGTATTGGTTTGTATTGCCTCACCCTAGCAAACCAAAATCATATGAAAAATGCTATCGGGGAAAAAAATGCTGCTATCCTTGGTAGATGGGCAACTTTGATGAGAGCTACTGCTTTAAACAGATGTGGGCTTCCTGTAAGTTAATTCATTGTCAATGTTCTTGTTTCTGGATAATTAATACTTGAATTAATATTTTGTTTGAGCCCTGTCATTTCAGAGTCAACATACATGCACACACATAATTTTCCAATTCTTAAAGTATTTAAAATATTTAAAGAACTGTTACTGATTAAAATTGTCTTCAACTTTGATAGTTTTGATTGGGTTACAGCTGCATTGAGACTATAAGCTTTATATACTTTATTGCTATCCTGATCTCAAAAAGTTACCCTACTGTGCGATATTGTTTCATGTGTTGTTCTCCTACATGTATCATATGGCACTATTTAAATGATTTATGTTTAATAAAACAAATACTGCGTGTAAGAATGGGATTGCATGGTTGGATTTTTATTTATTTTTTGATACACAGAAATCCCTTAAACAATTCTAGTATATTCAAAAGGACTCTTGGAGCTAGGAAACTGCTAAAGATTGCTAGAAGCTAAACCTTTTTTAATAAGTTTTTGCTTTGGCTAAAGTTTGAGCCTTTGCATCCTTTTTTTTATATATAATTTTCACTTAGCTTCTAGTGTGGCTGTATGCAGTTGAAATTGTCTTTATTTTTGGTCACTAGTGTGACATTATGTTTCAATCAGAAACTGCAATTATTAACTTTTCGTTGTCCATTTTAAGCTTGAAGCTTTGGAGTGCCTTTCATCTTCTCCCAGCACTATTGCGGTTACAGATCAAGGGAGTATACCAGATGTTGAACATTCTCAAATTATTCCTGCAATTCTAAAGCCTTCTGCGTGCGATGCTTCTAACTGGCTGTCAGGTGATGTGGCTTTGCATCTTGAGTCGCATGGTAAATTGGATTTAGCTCTTCAATATTTCTCAAAATTGATGTGGGAGCATCCTAGTTGGCCTAATCTAGGATCTGATAGAGCCAGTACATGCTCTATGGATCTTGAAACTCATCAACACGAGAAAATACTAGAAAATTTTCAATGCAAGTTATACACTGGACTTGCATATCTTAAGCAGAGATTTGCATTGGAATCTTCCTGTCTAATCAGCATGGTATATATTCTACAGACTATGATACTATGCTTTAATTTATCTGTCTGATGCTTTTCTCACATTAATTTTGTAAGAGGGACTGATCTGTTTTTGTGTTTCCCTTTGTACAGATTTTAGTCTTGTTGTGCAACAACGGGTTATTATTTATTGGATATGACATATTACGTGGATATACTTGTCAAGGACTCTCACAAGATGAGAGCAATGTAAAAGAGAGCTTCCTCTTATATTATCTTCAGCATAAGCCACTTTTGAAAGCTACTGAAGATTTCTCCTTTTTTATTTCACGGTTTATTGCTGCCTCAAGCATTACTTGCTCCAATTTGAAACCACTTCATATTGAAAATGGCCTGTGTAGAGAAGTTGGATCAGCATGTTTAAATGCTTGGAAGCATTACTTTGAATGTGTTATATTGTCATTGTGGAGTTTAAGGGCTGCTATGAGGAATTTTTCTGGCTACTTAACTGAAGAACTCATTATGGAACCCCTTGTTCTTCTTGATTTATACGAGTATTATGTGCATTTTGCCTCTGCTTGGTGTCAGAGAAATTCAAAAAGTATTCTTCTGCTCGTGCAACCTCTCTTGATTACCTATACCAATGGGCATACTCCCTACGAAGTTAATATGGTGAATCTGAAGAAAATTTTCCACCAAACTGCAGAGTTGGTAGCCTGTACATCAATTGATAATGTGGAAGGGATGCTTCAGGTTCCTAAAATTATTGATGATAAAAAATGCGATCTTATGCATTCAATTCCAGAAGATGAAAGATGGCATATCATGGCGGCTTGCTTGTGGCAACACATGTCCAGATTCACTAAACATAAGCTTAATTCTATATCCGTGAAACTTGATGACAATCATTCTACTGGTGTAATGGAACACATCAGGCTGCTCTCCTTGATATTGAGCAAATCATTGAAGTCCACATTGTTACATGTTTCTTCTTATCATGTAAAACAGCTTGCAATATTCCTGCAGCAGAAAGTAGAGATTGGACATGACGTTCCAACTTGTCGATGGTTAGATGAGTCTAAACTGTCTCAACCTGGAGTCCTCTATCCACATCTACGTGAGGGTGCTGCAAGTATGTACATGATGAATAACAAGGATGAAGCTGTATCTGAATTACTCTGGGATGCTTGTGCTGATGCAAATATGATATTTGAAGGTTTTGTGCAAGAAAAAATAAATTGGCAACATCATATCCATAGTAAACGTTCTAAAGGATGGACTCACATAAATGAAGGTGTCATGATGGATCACGAAAATGAGGCAGCTCACAACCATGGAGGCAATTCTAGCAGTACTTCTGCTGGTGGTGAAGTTGGACTGCCTGGTAAGGGCCTTTTTCGAAATGGCCATGCTTTACTGAGCTCCTGGCAGAAAGATACAAGCATTGTAAATGAGGTTACACCTTTCCAATCCCCTCAAGAAATATACAGGAGAAATGGGGAGCTTTTTGAGGTAATTGTTCTTTCTTTTTTCCATTGCATCTTTTGTCCATATGATACATTGATTTCCTTCATTGAAGGCTCTGGCCTCAAATTGATTAAGGATGGTTTCAGTCCTTTCATCTCCAGATATTTTTCATTTATCTGATTCTCACTAAATATTTTACTTTGAGCAGACAATGTGCATCAACTCTGTTGATCAAAGGCAGGTAGTAGTTGCTAGCAATCGAAAGGTTTGTCTCTGCACACAAAATCCTTCTTTTTTTCTGGGAGTGTTAGCTCAGGGAGTGATAAATTCCCTTGTTTGTATATTTTTAGTAAAACTATATCTTTTATATGGAAAGGTTTTTATTTCATTCTTTGTTTTTTGCAGTTGATAATAATTTAGTCAATAGTATAATATTATGTGCACATTTTTGACATATTCAAATAATAGGATATATGCATTACTCACACAATCAATCACATGAAGAGTACTCAATTTCAAATTTTATGTGTTTCAGGGAATAGTTTTCTTTGATTGGGAAGATGGGCTGCCTTTCAGAGGTCAAGCTGAATATATTTGGTCAGATGCTGATTGGCCACATAATGGTTGGGCTGGTTCAGAATCAACCCCCATGGCAACATTTGTTTCTCCTGGCATTGGTCTTGGGAGCAAGAAAGGGGCACGCCTTGGGTTAGGTGGTGCTACCTTTGGCTTGGATTTGTCAGCAAGACCAGCGAGAGATTTGACTGGTGGTGGAGCATTTGGGATTCCAGGTTATGCTGGTATTGGAGCATCTGGCTTAGGTTGGGAGATTCAAGATGATTTTGAGGAGTGTGTTGATCCACCAGCTACATTGGAAAATATAAGTACAAGGGCTTTCTCAAGTCACCCCTCCAGGCCTTTTTTCTTGGTTGGTTCTAGCAATACACACATTTACTTATGGGAGGTATGCAACTTTGACAGCTAAAAGAATATCATTTTTAAGGCTTTATCTTTTTTTTTTGTGTGTGTGTGTGTGTGTTCTTTGTCATAGGTTTTCTCCTTGGGAGAAGAACTCTTGCACAAAAAGTGTAGAGACAAACTTTTTCAGATTTTCTTCATTAAGGATGAAATGTAGTAGTCTTTGTTACTCATTATCAGGTCAAGCTTGGGGCACAGTGAAATGGTCCTATTTTATCATAGTTCAGAGATTGCAGGCATGATGCCAGCTTATTTTATCCAATGTTTTGAAAGTTTGCAAGGGAAAGGGAAAAGAATACTCATTTTTAAATGAATGTCCAATATTTTAGCTTGTAATGTTTAATTTAATTTACAGTACTGGTTAGACATGTACATATTGGGAGCCTTACCTGTTTCTCTTGCTGACTAGCAAGCTGATCCATCCCAGTTACTGTAACTCTCTATGCATTTGTCAGAACCACCAGTCAACAGCTAATGTAAAAGCTGCTAAGTTTTTGTTAATATCTCAAACCTTTAGGAATATTTGGCTTACGTGGTATATATCTATTGCAGTTTGGTAAGGATAAAGCAACTGCTACTTATGGCGTGCTTCCTGCTGCAAATGTTCCTCCCCCATATGCTCTTGCATCAATTTCCGCTTTGCAATTTGATCACTTTGGGCACAGATTTGCTAGTGCTGCACTGGATGGAACTGTATGCACATGGCAGCTCGAGGTGGGAGGAAGGAGCAATGTCCGTCCGACAGAATCATCACTCTGCTTTAATAGCCATGCAGTGTATGATTCCTTTTCTTTTCATTACTTTACTAGTAGATCCATGAGCAGATTCTAAAGTTCTCACTTTAATTTCCTAAATAATAACAATACCTCCAATTCTTTGAAATGATGAAAAGTGGCTTCTGCAATCTACTTGTAGTTTCACCTGTGTAGGTTGGTTTTTTTCTGGCACTCATCTCATTATGCATTTAGCTTATCGTAGTTGCCAAAATATTGAAAAAATCTGTGGCAACATTGTAATGGCCTTGGTCTATGAATTTGGGGCATGTTTGATTAATCATATGGTACATCTTTGTACTCTCTGATTTATTCTTTTCCTGTATCCATGTAATTATCTCAGCTTCCTTTTTCCACTTGATGCCGCTATCATGTTAAGATTTAACTGACACTTAAATTAGGGTCTTTTCTATTGTTAAGATGTTTCTTCATGCTACGAAATAGTCATTATTAACCAGCTGTTGTTTGATTGCAGGGATGTCACTTACATTACTTCAAGTGGGTCTGTTATTGCTGCAGCTGGACATAGCTCTAGTGGTATTAATGTGGTTATATGGGACACATTGGCTCCACCTACAAGCTCCAGGGCTTCCATCATTTGTCATGAAGGTTTTTTCCTCTATCCTGTTAAAGATTTTAAAACTTCAATAGGGTGGAAAAGTCATGTTTGAGTCTTCTTTTATTTACATTAACCTTTGGTACTTACATTTAAAACAAGAAATGGTACAACTTTTTTCATGATCACTCATAGGTAGCAGTTCTGTGTTTGCTTGTGGTTTCAGAAAACATCTGTTTCTTGACATATGATAGATGAGGGATTTTCTGGTTTTTGAAGTAATTATAGTGAAATATTGACCCAAAAAAGAAAAAATTACCTAACCTTTTAAGTCAATTTGAGATGTGGGAGTCTCACGGCCAGTTCTTGGGAGTGTGTGGTGAAATTGAAATTGAAATTGACTTATTATCAACATTGAATGGGAAAATGTACATTACTAGTACATGATGTACATCAATGGTGTGATTTCATATGATGCATCACAGTTTGGTACATTTATTGTTAGTATGTTGACTTTTTAGATTTTATTTGTTCAAAAACTTGGTTCTTTAGTTTAGCAGTATCTCCCATTTATAATCCGTACTCACCCTTTTCCTTTTCATGTGGAGGTGGTGCGCGCTCCATTTCTGTGTTTGATAACAACATTGGAAGTGGATCTGTTTCTCCCCTTATTGTGACTGGTGGTAAAGGTGGTGATGTTGGAATTCATGACTTCCGGTACATAGCAACTGGAAGAGCTAAAAGGCACAGGCACTTGGATACTGGTGAACTAAGTATAAACTCTTCTGCAAATACTGATACGCGAACAGGCTTTGGGAATAATCCTGGAGACCAGAATGGGATGCTTTGGTATATACCAAAGGCTCACTTAGGTAGAGGCATTTTTCTCCCC